CAACATCATCGTCGTGCACGTCTGCAATGGAGCAGAATGTTCGACCATGGACCCTAGTGCACTGGAGAAAGATATGGTTCAGTGATGAGTTGCGGTTCATGCTGTATTGCCATGATGGTAGGGATGCGTGTCTACAGAAGGAGAAATGAACGCTACACTCGACACTGTATTCATGAAGTCGACCGATACGGCGGTAGTAGTTGTCTACAGGACCCTGGAACCGCTCCTGGCTTCTGATTGGTCGAGATGATCACGTGACCTCTGTGACGTCACATCCGGTCAGGTGACCTGCGCATGCGCGCGGGGCATGATGGGACTTGCGTGCGCATCCAAGATCCGTGTCCGGTGGCGTGCGCCTCCAAGATGGCGGCGCATCCGTGTCCGGTGGCGTGCGCCTTCAAGAGGGGGTCGCCTCCGTTTCCGGGGAGGAGGGATGGGGAAAACCCGGAGAAGCGCACGTACGAGGTGAACAAGATCGACAGGGTTGTTGTTCTTGTGTCGTTCTAAAAATAGAAATAGAAAAAGCGGTGGGGGTGAAGGGAGGGAGGGAGGGTGGGAGGGAGGAGGCGGGGTTGGGTTCACGGTGTGGTGGGGGTTGGAGGGTCGTCAAAGCAAAGGAGGAAAAGCTGTCTTTCGGGAGAGATGGGTGGCCCTGAAAAGGGCCGTTGGAAAACAAACTGGAAACTGGAAACGACAGGAAACGGCAGGAACACTGGAACACTGGAACACTGGAAAAACTGCAAACGATGGGAAACTGGTAAAAACAGTGGGGGCAGCATGGCCCATGCGTTAGTCACTTTGTTCAGATGATCTATCTTCTTCATCCTCTACTTCCATCTCATCCTCGGACTGAAGGTGTCGTCGGCGCTTTGAAACGTGTTTTCTTGAGGGGCTTCTGTCCCGTTTTCTTTTCCCTAGACGAGGTGTGATGCCTACACGGAGTTGTGTGAGGCATTCTTTTAGGTCGAGGACATCGACATGCATGTCTTCGATGAGATGAAGCACTTGTGCCACAGGTGTCACGGGTGTCACGGGTGTCACGGTTGCCACGGATGCCACGGGTGTCGACGTGGACGGTGTTGCTAACGTTTTCTTTCGACTGGGTTCTGGGCAATCTGCAGCGAAATGACCCAGGGCTCGACAGTTGTAACAGCGGTCCCGGCGATGGGGTGTCTTCTTTCGACTGGGTTCTGGGCAATCTGCAGCGAAATGACCCATGGCTCCACAGTTGTAACAGGGGCCCAGGTTCTGCTTCTCCTGCTTCTCTTGACTGCTCATCTTCGGACAGACATAGTGACAGTGACCTTGATCTTGACACTGGAGGCATGTCACTTCAGGGCAGTACAGGTAACTGTGACTGTCGGTCTGGCACTTCATACAACTGTATCGAGCTGACATGATGGGTTTCATAGAATGCAGTGTGTGTGAGTGGCTTCGCTCTTGTTTTGTTTTTATAGGAGAGGCACTGGTACCCTGCTTCCTGATTGGTTCCCCAGGCAGTGCCCCCGATTGGTTCGTTCCGGGGCCTGGCCCGCACCTCGGTTTTCCAAAACGGACCGACCCCTGTGTTTCTTTTCCATAGGAAATGGATTTTAACATGGGAGAGAAAGCACAACCCTGGTCCGAGCGCGGTCTCTGATTGGTCTACAACCCAGGCTTCGGATTGGTCCGATTTCGATCCGGTTTTTATCGGGGTGTGCATTTCGATCCTGTTTTGTTTTTTCTTCATCCTACAGACAACATAACACGGCTATGAGTTCAACTTTTTTTTTTAATCCCCCTGATTACATGTGCCAACACAACAAAACAAAAGTCACAGGATGAGGGGGGACATCCCTGTGATTTTTGTGAACACGAGGGGTGACCACGAGGGGTGACCACGAGGGTATGAACGTCTGTACACTTTGAAAAAAAAAAGAAACTTTGTCACTTGGGGTGTACAAGACACTCGACTCTTCTCTTCCGTGCTTCTTGGGACACCAAACGTCTGTATTTTTCGTTCACTTCTCCATCAGGACAAAACACGCACAAGTATTCACAGGGGACTTTGGCGTGCTTCAGATGTTCTTTCCAGGGTTGGTCTGTGGCTTCCCATTGGCAGAGTGTCACACCGCAGCAATAACAGATAACACGGTCACCACGTCCTGGATAGAAATAACCAGCCATGGCCATGTCATAAGGGGTCTGGGCCATCTGTTTAGGCCACGTTTGAAAAGACCTCAGACGTTCTTGAAATGAATCATAGTTGGGATGAGAAGGATGACACAAGGTGTAAGAAGGAAAAGGTCTCTCCAGAATGTCACTGAGTCGCCATGTGTCGTCCATCAAGAGTGTGTCGTCCATCAAGAGTGGACGTTTTCTCGCTTCTTGTTCTCCCGCCTTATCAGACACCCACTCGGAATCGGTGACGACATCTCGGGAGGATGACATGGCATTCATAGAACGTCTCTGCTCCATGATGACTGTGACTTCACTGAAAGAAGGTCTGAGGGTTCGCCTGCTTTTATGAAACTCTCCACCCTACTTCCTTCAACGGAAGGTCATGACCTTAGCTTCCACCTCATTACGTGACGTCATCCTGTGTTTGGGTTGACGGACACACGACATGATGCATGACATGATACATGACATGACATGGCACACGGCGGGTGTGGGGGGATCGATGCGTAGTGGAATGACTGACACCAGGCAGCTGATCTTTCAAGCATAGCCTTTCTCTTTTATCTTTCTCTTCTTCACTTTGGTGTGCACTGACATGACAGACGCACAGACAGACAGGCAGACAGACAGACAGACGGACAGACGACGTAAACGACACCTCAACTCAACCTCTACCCTCGGTTCGGCACTCTATTGGAGTTAAGATCAATCAAGACACAAAGAGTCAGTTCAATCAATCACTGTTTAATAATGAAAAACCAATCACAACCAGATACAATGGAAATACGAAAAGTCAATGGAGGAGGGAGTGCTTTGCATGTCCCTACAACAACAACAACAACAATAACGCGGCAACGTTTTCCTCTTCCATCTTCAAGCTCTTCTGTCTTCAATCCCATAAGAGGTGGTCCTCCCTCAAACATGTGAGAGGTCCATCCGTTCAACACGTACAGTCTATGGCCTCCCTGAAACAGACATGACACATCACTTGATCACGGTTGCAGCTTACGTGTTGTAAAGTTCTTCGAGTGAAAAGGAGGATCACCATAAGATGTGATCCTCAGATGTGATAGGCATGTCATCATGTGTCACTATGCTGTCATAGGTCAACATACAAGTACAGTCTATGAGTTCCAGACCACAGGTATGACACATCACTTGCCCGCTGTTGCAACTGATGTATCTTAACATGTTGTTGTGTCAGCAAACACGACATTCGCGTTGTAGGGGAGTGAGTTGAGCTTCTTCATAAGGATCCAGGTCAACGTTGTCATCATCATCATCATCGTCGCAAACCATGGGCATACCTGAGGAGTAGACATGAACATCTTCCGGTGATGCTGGTGACCAAGAAGCCTCAAGCAGGGGGAGCGTGTCCAGATCCATGGAAGGGAGAATGGCCAGCTTGAGCGCTTCATGATCATCAAGGTCACCCGTCGCCATCGTCACAGGGGCATTCGGTGAATAGGTGGGCTCCCGAGGGGTTTGTTCCCACCACTGTTCTAGCACGGACTGGGCTGAACTGACATCAGGGGTCCTGTCAATCATAGGACAGAGTCCATTCATCATCATATGCATAGGTATAGTCATCATCAACATCGACATCATCATCATCATCAACATCAACATCACATCAAGAACGATTGAGACAAAGAAGAGCAGGGTACTTACAGTTGTTCTTGAGGAGAGATCTTCAGAGATAATTTCTTCCGTGATCGTCTTTTTGCAGACGTTGCAGGTGTTGCAGGTTTCAAAAAGGATGTCCCCATCGTTTCGGTGTCTGTAGTCGCTGCTGCAATGGTTGCTGTGGCTGCTGTGGTGGTGGGGGGTGGTGACTGGCGCTGTGGTGGTGGTGGTGGTGGGTGTTGTTGCTGCTGCTGTGGGGACAACAACTGCTGTGGGTTTGCTCGTCTTTTTCTTCTGGATCTTCTTTATCGTCTTCTTCGATGTTCCTTTCTGGGGTTCAGTCAGCTTCCTCATCTTTGAACGTATCTGTTCGCACATCATGTCGTCGCCCTTCGCACGTAACTTGGTGTACGCGTCGTCGGTTTTCATCTTTAAAAACAGCAAGTCCTACACTTCACCCCACAGTTCAGCAGTCATTTCACCGCACCCATCTCCACTGCTTCCTTGGCCACTCATGTCTTGGCTTCGTGTCTTGTCATTCAACCGTTTCGACATGTTGTTCGACACGATGTTGTCCGGATGTTCTGTTCGTTGTTGTTGTTGTTTCTTTCCAAGTCTTCACGGAGGTGCGTCAACACTTGATGGTACTCTCTCCAAACACGTGTTTCTTCCAGATAAAACGCCAACAACCAACACAACGTGAGGAACATCAATCAAAGGGACGGTGTTGTTGCTCGGTCCGTTCAGTGAAAAGTGATGACCGGAGAGCGTCGGTCGTATTAAAAGCCACGGAGGTCCTGCTTTCTGATTGGTCCGTTCCGGTGTCTGGTCTGAGTCTCAATTTTTTCCAAACTGGACCGACCCTTGTGTTTCTTTTCCATAGGGTTAGGCTTGTAGCGTGAGAGAGAAAGCACAACCTCGGTTCGACCAATCAGAGCCCACCATGGCCCGAGCGCGGCCTCTGATTGGTCGACAACCCAGGCTTCGGATTGGTCAGATTTCGATACGTTTTTTTCTGTAGGGGTCCATGTTGATTCAGTTTCGATCCGCTGTCATGAAAAAAATTATAGAAAGTCGTCTCTGTACCCAAAGGGAAGCGTGTCTACAGGCAGCCCTGTGGTTTTGTCGTAGACGAGACGTCGCTTGTCGTACACGGTACGATAGTCTTTTCGGGAGGGTCGGGTCACAAGTGCGTTTTCGTGCCGAGGTCCTTTTCAAATGATCTGATGAGGGTAATCCAAACTGATTTTCTCCCCCTCTTTCCCAGGCCGTTGTCCCAGTATCAGTCCTTTCATGGTGTCAAAGTTGAGACGGTGTTGGTTTCGGTAATTCAAAGTGAACCCTCGCACTTTGCAGGATGTGCGCGTTCCATCGGGTCTGGGGTTCATTAACTCGTAGCCATAGTTTTTGGGGCTTCCCGACACAAACATCTTGATGGTGTTTCCGTCCAGTTCATCCGTAAACTCACCCAACGAATGACCCAGCTCTGGATTCGCGTCGTGGGGTCGATGAATGTAAATGACGCTGTCCGTGTCAAAATACAAGACCCTGCGGCCCACCAGGGCAAGGGTCTCGTACAGCTTGAGACGTGCTTGGGCGGTGACCCAAGCGGCTATGGCGACGTTGAAATGAGAATGAGGGGTTTGGTATTCTTTCCGATGGGTAAAGGTCACTTCCACCATGTGTTCGTTGACAACGGTCACATCCTCGATGGTATTGCGTTCATCCCTCCACAAGGCAAAGTACTGTACAGGATCGCTGATATAGAGGTTCTGACTGTAGTCTACCCGTTGTCCAAACTTGCCCCAGAGCGAATTCAGTTGCATCTTGGCAATCGTGCGAAGTCCTGGATTTTTTTCGATGCGATCCTTGTCCAACACAATGCCTTCTTTGTCGTAGATTTCCTGGATGTAAGCGTCGTGATCCGTACATCCTTCGGGGTATCCACTGGCTTCGAGCTTCTCCTTGAAATGTCGATCGATGTAAGTGTCAAAGAGTCCCACTTGTTGGGTGTCGGGGTCATGCTGTGCAAAGGTGTCAAAATGCCAAACGTCGTAGATCTGAAGCACCCGGTAGTCATACTTCTTCACGGCTTCCTGAAGTTCTACGGTGGCGTACGTCCCCACCCATGACCTCTCTTCGTCCGTGTGCTGGCAGGGGGAGTCTGACCGGGTATCGGCACACGTACGGCACAAAGGACAGAGCAGTTTGCCACCCGATCTGTAAGGCAGTAGCGGATGGTAGAGTCGTTTCGGGGGTAGGACACGGCATTGGATCAGGCCTTTCAGTTCAAACAACGTGTCCACAGGGGGTTGATGGAGAAGGGTCGGGTGTCCCGTGGGAAACGCTCCGGTCTTACAAATGTAGGGGTAAAGGGAACAAATATCAATGTACTTGATGGTTTCACCTTCTTGGGCTTCGTAGCATAATCGCGTCGCATTGGTGCGTCCTCCATAGAAGGCGTCGCGAGGGTTGAGCGGCCCGGGGACGTGGATACAGCGGGGTCCCTGCAAGAAAGCACGCAGAGCGGCGTCCTCCCGTTGCATTTTCGTAAACTCGTGCTCCCACAGGGTGACGATCCGTTTCACCTCAGGGTGTTGACTCAAGAGACTCAGGCGGTAGCGGGTGTCGGTGAAACGGGCTCCCAACGACGTGCCCAGGACGGGATGCGATTCTCCACATCGGGTCTTGTGACAGGCCTGGCACCCATGCCAGAAACAGCCCAGGAATTCGTAGACAGTGCCTGTCGCTGGATCGTAGCCATCCACGCTGTACCGATGGTGGCCCTCTCCACACCTGAACTCTTGTTCACCTCCATTCCTGGCGTGCTGGAGGTGCAGATGGGGGTCCGTTTCCATCAGATAGTGGAGCCAGTGCATACAGGCCTGGGAATAGTTTCTCTGGGTTGGTAGCCTTGAGGTGGAAGAATGGCGATGGTATTGGGTTTCAGGTCGTGTTTTCGAAAGGATTTCATGGTGAACGCAGCAGCTGTCATCACTTCCACAAAGGGATCCATGCCAACCGAGTGGATCTCGTTCTGTCGGAAGTCGGCGCATCCCCGTCTCAAAATGTCTACATCGCTCTGGCAGTAAGCTAAAAGTTCTCCTTCTAAGTCGAACAAAGCTCCTTCTTGCACTTTTTGAGTATGCCACTGGAGGAAGACTGTGCATTCCGCGGGAGACATGCCATCGGGATCGTACGTGACGGCTGGTGGATAGGGACCTCTGTAGGTCTGGTTGACTCTCGTATCGAAAAAGTGTGGAAAGTACCCTTTCTTCATTTCTTTCAGATCAAAACTCTTGGGAAAGGCTTTGAGGGGGTAAGGGATGAAATTTAAGCTGTCTTCGAAACACAACCGTCCCAGGGTCATCTGCAAAATTTGTTGGCCATGTCGGATCTTGGTGGGGAGTGTCACCAGGAGGGGGGACAGGCCCTTCAGGATCAAGTGTAAATCATACGATCGTGCATTGTGGGCCATCACATAAATGCGATCCTCCTTCGGGACTGTATGGCAAGTGGTGTTCTTGTTCTTTGGCTTCTTTGTTTTCTCCACTTCCATGACCTCTTCCCCCTCCTCCGCCTCCTGCTGGGGTGATGCATGTCGTTGACGTTTGGAAGCGTACTTTCTTGAGGGGGTGTCATCCCGTTTTCTTTTCTTCCCCAGGCGGTGTGTTGCCCCCTTGCATGAGCTGTCCTCCTCTTCCTCTTGGTGGGGCTTCTTCCTGGGTTTTTCAGCCAACGTGGTCAACCACACACACACATCATGTCGCGTGGTGGGGCCTCGAAACACGATCTCACGGCTGGGACCATACCCTTCTTCTCTCCATGGACAGTGTTCGCACAAGTCCTTGCTGACTTCACTGATGCACCGTCCACATCCCAGTTGCACCACGCACAAATTTGGAATGTGTTCCCCCGTGTCTTGCATGCATTCAAAATTGTAGAAGGCGTATTGGACATTGTCTCGTACGTGATGTTGTTCCTCTTCCCCCTCCTCCTCCTCTGCTTCCTCTCCCTCCCCCTCCTCCTCCTCGTTTTCTTCACAGAGAGGCGTCATGTAACATCGATGGTCTGGGGTCATGGGTTCTCGGCACACCAAGCAGGGATGTTCTTCGTTGAAGCACTCGTGGTGAACCATGGGGGTCTCCAAGACGCGGACCAGATGAAAACAGGTCGGGCACCTGTGAATCGATTGACAGGCGCTGGGTTTTCCCTCTGACGGTGACTGGAGATGTTGAGTGTAACACGATTGATTGAAGAACCAACGTTGACATGTCAAGCAAGGGATCCCGTGCTCTTCCTGGGGCTTGCAATAGCTAGAGTGGAGGCAGCGGTGACAGCGGTTTTCCTTGGTGTAGGGATGGGTTTCGGGATGATCGTAACGTTGGTCGAAGCGTTCGCAGTAATGGTTAGAGCCATAAAAAGCGGGCATGGAAGTGATGACATCGTAGTGCTGATCATGATGGTATACATGCAGCACGGTGGCGTGGGGTGGAGCCTCATCACACTTGTACAACAGTCTCTGGTCCACCTCTTGACTGTAGACTTTCAGTTGATAATTCAGGGGGACCAAGGCGTGTCCCACGCGTGCGAGGTCGTCCAGGCCCTGACAGGGGCCTTCAGGCAGGCCAAGGCGTCGAAACAAGTCCCGTGCCCGTATACTTTGAACGTCGACGCGATCCGTTCTCGTCAGTCTCATTCGCTCGGCGGTCCATTCTGGGGTCAAAGGGTGGGGCTTCTGGACATAATGTTGTGCCACCACCAGGGCCCGTGCCAAACAGGATTGATCTTCGTTCTTGATCCGTACAATGCACTGTTTGCGTGTTAAAAAGGCTTCGAGTCCAATCAAGTGTTTCAGATGATGACCACCACTGCCCGATCCTAGCCTGTCGGGATCTGCGACGTGTACTAAAGTCACAACCATGGTGGCATCGATGTTTAGGTCTTTGTTGGACTGTTGGACTTTTTCCACAGCATGCAAAATATCGAGCCCATGGAGATCTTCAAAGCGACGAAAGGGGATCCGTATGGGGGTGTTCAAAGCGGGATGATCGATACCTAGACCAATACGATCTCCCTTCTGGCCTGACATCTGTTCATAAAAGTCATCGATCACCCTGTCAAATAAAACGTATCTGATGAACGTCTGTCCTCTAAGAGGGACTGAACGTCTGATGGATGGACAACCCTTCCCCAAAACAGGATCGAAATCGGACCAATCCGACGCCTGGGTTGTCGACCAATCAGAAGACAGCACCGACCAATCAGAAGACAGCACCCGAGCCGAGTTGTGCTTTCTCTCCCATGGTAAAATCCATTTCCTATGGAAAAGAAACACAGGGATCGGGTCGTTTTAGAAAACCGAGGTGCGGGCCAGGCCCCGGAACGAACCAATCCGTGCGTTGCGTTTTGGACCAACCAGGAAGCAGCGATCTTCGATCCGGTTCTTCTCCTATAAAACAAGAGTGGATTCGAGTGGGTCAGTGTATTTTACATAAAATTATCAAGAATGGCTGAAACAAAGAAGAGTGGTACGGCGACGCGCGGCGAAGATGTGGTGATGGATAGTACAGATACTCGTGGATGTTGGGGTAAGAGTCATGCCGAGGATGCGCTGTCACTGCTCAGTCAAACGCCATCGCACTATTATCTACGCTTTGAAAGAAGGCTCGCTTCGTTTGAGGCGTGGCCAACGCAAATGTATCAGACTGCTGAAGAGATGGCCCATGCGGGCTTTGTCTACACTCAGGGTGCCGATGGTGTGTGCTGTTTCCAATGTGGGGTGCGGCTGAGACAATGGGCACCCCACCACGATCCTTGGGGGTCACATCACAAGTGGTCCCCAGACTGCGATTACCTCAAGCTAACCGGCCTGTTGAAACACCAGAAACAGATGTACAGGAATGACGTAGCGCGGCCGGCTGCCTAGGAGGACGTTTCCCGTGTCCTGCGTTCCTGTTCAAGTTTCCGTTCAAGTTCCCGTTCAAGTTCCTGTTAAAATTATTTTATTTTCTTTGTTGGACACACAAGTGGTGCCACGGTGGGCACCCCGATGACATACCCAGATGGTTACAAGTACCGCTTCGACGATCCTTGTCTTGTCATGAAGCTTGGACATGATCATTCTTCTTGGACAGCAGCAGAAAAGTTTTTCTTCCCCAAAACGGCCCTTTTCAGGGCCACCCATCTCACCCAAAAGACAACTTTCCTCCTTTGCTTTGCCAACCCCACCCCTCCAAAACAAAGAACCCACACCCTCCCCCTACACCTCTTGGAGGCACACGTCTAAAAATACAATAAATAGATATATAAATAGATCAATAGAGACACGTAGTACACCACGTCAAACATCACGTGTGCATGAAAACACGTGTCACAGTACGTCTGTCGACTTACACGGGTGTCAACACCTCGGTATCTTTAAATTATAATAATAATAATAATAATAATAATAATAATAATAATAATTTCACAACACACACACACGACACTACGTTTGCATGACGTTCACATCGCGACACGAAGTCCATGACGTGTGCAAACGCCACGCAGGTGTATCGATCTTTCTCTATTCATCTCAATACGACATCCATGGTTGTAGTCACACACACACACACACACACACACACAGGACACCAGGTTTTTGCTTGACAACACGCTATTCTATACATCAACGTCAACGTCTGTTTGAAGACATACACACTCACACACACACACACATGACATTCCGATTGGCATGGGGGTGACACAACGTACATCACGTAGGCATTCCCACGTTCATGTCTACCTATGAAGGTCCACCTTTCCTTTAGCATTCAGACGACCGTCTACCTAAAAAATTACCAAGGCTACCCAAGGAAAAAAAACCGGATCGAAATCGGACCAATCCGAAGCCTGGGTTGCCGGCCAATCAGAGGCGGCGCTCGGGCCAGGCGGGACTCTGATTGGCCGAACCGGGGTTGTGCTTTCTCTCCCATGGTAAAATCCATTTCCTATGGAAAAGAAAACCGAGGTGCGGGCCAGGCCCCGGAACGAACCAATCGGAGCTGCTGCCTGGCGAACCAACCGGGAGGCAGGGTGTCAGTGCCTCTCCTATAAAACAAGAGTTGATTCGAGTGGGTCAGTGTCACTTGTAAAATTGATTCATCATGATGAGCAGCAGCAACAGCAACAGCAACAGCAACAGCAACAAGTCGGAAAACTTGGATTTAGAGATCGCCAGAGTAACACAACCTTTGCCCGGGTGGAAAGAAGCATCACCACCACCACCACCACCATGGTCTCCAGCGTAGCAATGTGCCAGATATCAAGGGGGCCTGCCCGTCTATGCCCTGTACTGAAGGACACCTACGTGCGTCGGTTAACGCACACCAGTAGGTGTCCTGTCAGACGCGAAATGAAAGTCCACCCGTGCCTTTGCACCATGGCGTGCACATGCATGTAAGCATCAAAACGGCCCTTTTCAGGGCCACCCATCTCTCCCGAAAGACAGCTTTTCCTCCTTTGCTTTGACGACCCTCCAACCCCCACCACACCGTGAACCCAACCCCGCCTCCTCCCTCCCACCCTCCCTCCCTCCCTTCACCCCCACCGCCTTTTCTATTTCTATTTTTAGAACGACACAAGAACAACAACCCTGTCGATCTTGTTCACCTCGTACGTGCGCTTCTCCGGGTTTTCCCCATCCCTCCTCCCCGGAAACGGAGGCGACCCCCTCTTGAAGGCGCACGCCACCGGACACGGATGCGCCGCCATCTTGGAGGCGCACGCCACCGGACACGGATGCGACGCCATCTTGGATGCGCACGCCACCGGACACGGATGCGACGCCATCTTGGATGCGCGCGCCACCGGAAAC